TGCAGTTAAAACACACAGAGCAACAGACATGGGGTGAAACCAAGACAACCTCTGAAATTATTCAGTAATTCCAAAGAGATGAGACGCATCCCATCTTCAAATGTAGTGAATCTGAGCAGTAACATCAAAATACACACTCTTAGTAGCCAATGCTCTGAAAGAAGTTTATGTTTATTCATCTATATATAGAAGCAAACACCATAAATTATGCCCAAAAAATTCCACACAGTATCAGATAAACTTTTTTTTTTTTTTTTTTTTTTTTTTTTTAATTTGTAGGTAATTGTTTATCCTCTTTTAACTAATGTACTACTCATACATACAATTTATTCATTCCTTACCTGAGCATTATGAGGGACAAATTCTAGGAAGGCTTCTAATGCAGGACAAATTATTGCAGCTCCTACAAAGATTATATAAACATTTCCAGTATTTCATAGAAAGATGTAAACAGGCAAGAATGTTTCCAGCACAAATGGATATCTATGTATTCAGATCTAGTGAAATTTGCCCTGCCCTGCTTTGAGTCACATCCTCAAACACCTTCTTCAGGGCGTGCAGGAATGTTTCTGAAAACAAAATACCTAGAAAACCGTTAAATCCTCAAGCTTGCAAATGGTCACACATCCACACAGTGTTATGTTTTCAGTAGGATTGAACTACTCACTGGGAAAAAAAATTTAAAGGGTTGTTTTTGTAAGATATTTAGGGGACACAGACCACCAATAAAGAATTCACTCTGTAATTATTCATTTTCTCCTTATAGAATAGAAAAAAAGCATCAGATCTGAAACAGTCTTAAATCTAGTAGAATTTAATAGACTATTTTTTAAAAACCCAAAATCAAGAAACAACTGCATCTACATTATATACTGTTGAAATATACTCTCCTTTGCTGAACACCACCCCCAGGTTGGGGTTTTTTTTCAGAGCTCTATTAATTGAAAACAATAATTTGTTTTCTCTTTTGTAAAATGTAAAAAGCACAGAATTTGTCTTTAAAATACAGTTGTCAGATATCAAGGGGTATATATATGCTAACATTTACCCTAGGGGTATTTCAGGGATAGAGTCTGTTACAAATAAAATCTTTATTCATATGAACAGCTACCTGGGGGGCAATACTGAATGTTATACACAATATTTATATATATATATTTAAAATAATCTAGCAGGGCTATTAAAACACACTGGAAGCTACACTGAATTTAGTCACTCTGTTTTACAGTCTTATGCTACTAACTTTTTGGAGACTGAATTACTTCCTGTAGAGGATAGCTTCTAAAATATAAACTCCTTTCATCTAATGTGTCATACCAGCATTTTACTATCTGTAATTTAATAGCTTGTCCACTGTAATAAAGAAAAGAATTATAGGAAAAAGAAAAGCATTTTTGTTTGTCATTAAATTATGCTATGGTATTTTCAAATCTGAGAACTTTCCTTGAATTAAGAATTTTAAAAAACATTAAAAAAAATATTTTTTTTATGCTTTCAAGAATTACAGAATAGTCACTGTGTGCTATGGAAAACAACTTTAGGCTAAAGATCAGACACCCACACCTATCAAGGAGTTGAAGCTGTCTGAAGGAAGCTGGGAGACAAAGCAGTGAGTACAGCAGGAGGCTCTGCTGGACCTTGCAAATCCATGGAATGAAGAAGATAATGTCCCACCAACTGCTAGCAAAACTCTCAGATGGTTGAAAACCTTGTCTAGAGAAAGCAGACTGTAATTCCTCCCTTTTTCAATGCATTTCAAATGCTGTGATTTGGAAACTGCCACCACAAGAATGAAACTCCTCGCACCAACGCAACATCCAAACACCTTCTTTCCAATTAAAGAAAAATCATCTGTGACTCTACAGCAATTAAAACTCAGTCTGTGGCTGCTGCACATCAATCTGTGTGATCATTTCAAGATCTCTAGGCAAGTGATCCACCTTTAGATGCTCCTTCTGGCCTTCTAAGTCGAAGGGATTCTGCATGCTTGGACTTCCCATTCCTCAGGGCTCCCATGCTCCTCTCAGGAGATGAAGGAAAACATGAGCTGGTTTAACACATTGCTCAAGAAAGCCAAGAAAACAAAAAAGAAAAACTTTTCTGAAGAAATGCAGCACAGACTTTGCATTGGGGAATTAAAACAAATCCACACTGCAGATCTAACACTGAGTGCCCGATATCTTCCAGAACAGCTCTGCATGCTCCCCGTGGAGGGTGAGGACACCTTCTCCCTGTGACAATCCCAGGGAGATCTCCACGTTCCTGGGAACATAATGTTACTGCACACCAGGAGAGAGGCCATACAGTTCACAAAAGTAACATTAAATGCCCTTTTCGTTACCAACTCAGCATTAGTTCGTGCTCAAGGGAGGACACGTCTGTTCTCTGATAAAACAATTAGCAAGTTCATCACTGAAACTCTCAATGCAGGGTTTATACTCTCTGCTCAATGCAGGGTTTCTGAATTGAACATCTATGGCTCTGCATTGCATCCTTTGTTTCAAAAGCACTTTTTAAGAGTATCCCTTAACTGCTGAGTGGCACATTTAAACTAACAAACCTTCCTGCTCCCAAAAATCAGCTTATATGGATAAAAGTCTAAGTCCTTTAAAACATATCTACACTATTTTTCTAAAATGTATCTAATATCCAATTTAACAGCATCAGTATTACTTCTCACACACCCCAGGATCTTGAAATAGAGTACAGTTTGAACATAAAGATTTAGTAAAGCAGCTCCGTTACCACAAGCATTTGCACTTGAAATATCCATGACCTTTCTGCACTACTAAACATACAAATAAAAACAAAGTATTCAAGAAATGTCACATTTACGGAAAGCACTTATAAAATAAAGGGTTTTTTTCTGTAAATAATGTCAATATTATAAGTAATGCAAATTTGGTATTTTCCACGACCTCACAAGAAGGTGGAAATATTTAAACGTGCAATTCTAAACATGCAGTACTGCCAGTTTGCAATGGAATTTTGTCTTTACAAACTACTACCTGGGAAGCGGATCTTCAGTGGTTATTAGAAAGCTTAGAAATAACAGAATTAAAATTAATTTTAATCAATGTGTTTTCTAATAGGAAAGCAGTCATCCTTACTAGGTTGAATCTGATGCACTTAAACTTTCAATTTAATAAAATAATCGAAACATTCAATTACAAAACAAACATTAAAAATGTGCAAGTAAAGTAGAAGGTACCTCTAATCAGTTTTCCTCTCACCAGCCATATCAGCCCTTGATCTTAAAATTTTATGCTGCCTGCGAGGACAAGGTACAAATTCTATTTTAACCATCGCATCTTTGTCAACTTTGACTGTTTGATTCCCTCTGCTCCAACCCGAACAGCACCAGCAAAGAAAACGCTTTCCTTTCCTTAAGATGCTCCATTGGTTAGATCAGATTTATTTGCTGTCAGTAAAGGTTGTATTTGCACATAAGTCTATGACAGATTGCAAGTTTATTAACTTCAAGTGAGTTTTCAGGATGCTGGGTTGAGGTTTTTTTTGTTGAGTCGTTGGGTTTTTTGTGGGATTTTGATTTTTTTTTTGCTTTTTTTTTTGTCAGCGCACCCTCCCCCTTTCCCCAAGATGTGGGTTACTTGACAAATTGGAGTTAAGTTATCTTAGGTCAATGTAACTGTAAGTTAAACTAATGAAGTGTATGTCTATGAGTGATGTCTGATTAGTTTAATACAGTTAGTGCTGGACAGCTTGGGCTGCTGACCTTGAAGGAACACAGATAACATTGTGATGCGTTGGAGGATGTGGTTGTGATACAAGACAAATTTACATAACAGTTTGTCATGTACACTCCTCCAAAACAAAACTGTTGCAAAAAGAAAGCAAGAGGAAACCAACGCTAAATGCCTCGCACAAGACAAAACGGGGAAAATTAATTATAACGCTTGGCTTTGGGTGGGAGATTATTTTAAATGGGAGCCAAAAGCAGGCACAGGAAAGGTGTACATTTACACAGTATGTGTTCCAAGATGGCTTAGACATTGTGCTGGGTAACACTGAGCAAATGCAGCCTTCTATAGCACAAATCTACTCTTGAAAAATGATATTCCTTCCTCAGGAAGCACCTACTCGCTCACAGTAAAAAATACCAGACCCGGTTCTGGACTGTGACTCATTGGCACACCATTCAGGTGTGCTCAGAGTCCTCCTGAAGTTCTTTCTGCAGCTGCTTGTGCTAAAAGAACCTTGTGCATGAACAGTCTCTCCCCAAGAAGGTGCACAGTCCCCATGCAAAGGTCTGTATGCTGTGAGCAAAGCTCTATCTCACTGCTCCAGACAATCACCTCGCCACATCTCATCTGATCAGGTAGGCCAAGCAGAAGTGCTGGGTTTAGAGACAGCTTGGCTCTGGAGGGGCTGATTCTCACTATGTGATAGCTATCTTGTTGACCTAAATCGGCTGTTTTTATCAGCCCAGGTTCTAGCTGATGGAAATTTGCCACCTACATAAATGTATAATTGACACCCTCAGTTGCTAGCACGTTACTGAACTGGACCATCATTAAGATAAGACTGCTTCCTTAATCCTCCAGGTCAGCCTGAGCAGGACTCTGATAAATCAGACTTGCTAATAGATACATGGGAGGACACATGAGGAAGCTTGCAGTGTTCACATCTGTGCCATCTCTCAGCCTAATCTGTGAAGCACAGTTTAAACCTTTCAGAATGACTGAACTCACATGATAAATTTCAAATAAGAGATACACATACATGTATAGACATCAGGTACCCAGATACTGGGTGAAACTCTCATGGACTGGAGATACAAGACAAAACAGTCTAGGAAGTTCTAAATAAAATATAGAATTTCTCAGTTATACCCCAAGAAGAAAAACCTGTGCTGCCCACTGCAAGTTCCTAACTGCTCCCACATACACCCTTGCATACACACAAGGAGTAAGTTCAAGAGACCTGGTTGAAGGCATCTGTGTAATTTGAGTTTAGAAATTATTCAGTCCCTTGGTTACCTGTAATTAGAACCTGTTGGCACTGTTTGCATGAAATAAAGTGCAGAAGTCCGTGCCTTCCAATGCCACTTCTTGGCTGGGAGTGTGCAGAGGACACAATCTTCTTGTAGCTCTTCCTGGAGAAGATCCATCAGCTGCTTGTGGGAGCCACCATAAAAGGGTTCAATGAGAAGGACACTCATTTTCCAAGTACTTCAGGATTGTCTGAAATCTGAAAATGAAAACAGAGAAGTATTTTACTTTAGAAACATATCTTTTTTATTATTATTGCTATTACTTAAGAAAATTATACTGGAAGAAGAATACACTGCAAAGTCTTGTAATATAATCCTTAATATTTTATTAATGAGTTTACTTCAGAAAAGGCTACTTAGCAATTATGATGACTAGATTATTTTGACCTTTAAAAGATCCTGTCTGTAAATTTTAAATGAATGAAAATGTGCAAGACTTAGGAACACACTGTATTTTGAATTTATGGGTTTGTTTTCAATGGGATATTTAAAAACAGCTTTACTTTACTACTAAACACTTTACACTAACTCCTGAATACAGTCAATTATTCCGTAACTTAGGATATAGCTTATTCATTCTTGTATAGATTTTCCTCATTTTCCTGGTGGCAGAAAAAATTAAAGAGCAATTCAAACACACTTCAGCCAGAAAAGCTGCCAGTAACAGTGATTTGGGTAAGGGACTTAAAGGCAGAGAGCAGCTTGGGGAGATACAGCTGGGGCATCCCCCAGGACACCCTCCTGAATTGCTGGGAGCTGGGATCACAACCCCAGCAACAACAGATGTAAACCATCTTATTTCTTCTGAATACTCCAAAGTGGGTGGAAGAGAACACTAGAGGAGGCTCAAGGAAGCTCTGAGACAAAAAGCCCCAGAGCTGCTCACAAACAGGATGCAGAACGTGCAGATGCCCAAAGCGAGGGGACAGATGAAAACCTGGTGACTATTGCTCATCGCCCTCATGAGTCACACCCTTGGGTACTCAAAAGCTGCTTTTCACATGCTTCGAGCAAAGCCACCACACACAACAGCTGAAAGCAAAACCCTGAAAGGTGTTCACCATCCACAAACACCTCTCTGATGGTTTCCCTCCCAACACTCCCTAAGAATGATGGACTCCCTGCTAAACTCAGTTACTCAGGACTCCAGCTGGACACTGTACATTGCACGACCTTACACCCATTTCCTGACCTGCAATTTCTAGTGGTTTCAGACTGTAATCCTTATCTTACCAAAAACCTCTGGTGACAAGAAGTGAGAATTCAGCAGAGAACTACATACTCTTCTGAAAATCTCAACCATAGTTGAGAAATTTAGTTCAATTCAAGATCAGGTTAAAAATATTACGTATTCTGTAATCAGAGGGCAGAAAACAAACAAAAAGCCTTTTAAGTGCACTGTAGCTATCAAAAGATCAGTTAACCAGCAACATAAATCCAAACAGTGAATCAATTTAATTGGAAGACAAAACATAAGAAACCTTTAGGTAGTTTTTTGTTGTTGGCCTGCCATGGTCCCAGATGAAATGGTGATGTAGAGCTTCTGGGTCATTACAGAACAATCAGCAAGAGAAAAAACACTCCATGTTCCAACTTACTTTCCCTAATCCAGTCTGGATTCAGGTTATCATTTGCTCTATTATTCACTCCTCCAAAATATTTCAAATACATTACTTGTTTTAACAAATACGTTCTTTGCAAAATCAAAAGGAAAGCCATCTGGAAGCAGATACTTCACTCCATTTTGGAGCTTGCTTCTTTTCAGGTAGCAAAGCAGTTTCTGATCTCTTTTCCACTGACCTAATTTCAAAAAAATCACACTTTTGAGATCACTGACGTTTTCTGAATTTACAATGATGTAACCAAAATCAGACTGTCTCCTCCAAAGCCCTTTTGGAGCCTGCAGGGTAATAACTGCTATAAAAACACAAGCTGTGGTTTAGAATCTGCACTATTCACCTAAAGAACAATTTGTAATTAATCATGCTGTGCTTGTCATCAAATGCCACCGAAAGTTTAATTCAAGGGACTAAAGGGAAGCATTTTATAAATTCAGCCCCTAAAAACGGGGGTATGTGAAAAGTTGGTAAATGCCACTGAGTCAGTCACTTGGGGAGGCTTGCAACTAATTTACAAATCATTAGCAGTATCAGTAATAAAGCAATTTGTTCATGAAGCATCTGATCAAATCACACTTCACCAGACTAGTTCTGAAACTGGTTTTATCACCAGGTTTAGCTGAACCCACACTGTACTCTTTGGTTTTATTTTGCACCAGTTTTCACTGTACATCCCTCACGGGAACAGAGAATGACTGTACGTGCTGACGGTAAGAGATTGCTCAGTCCTCATGTTTCCTCCTGCTTAAAGACCCTGACATTTAGTTAATTATTCTGCATTTACCTACCTTTAGGTCTATTAGTGGAACTGCATGATGCAAGTATTACACAAGTATTGCCATACAATAAACCCCCTTTGGCTATTTACACTGGGAAACTGGGTTGAAATCGTGGATGTGTCGTGGAGTGGGTGTTAAGATAGCTCTTGATATGTAATTCTTCACAATAACACTCAGAGACCCCGTGGCAGCAGCCCGTGAGGGTGACAATCAGCAATGACACATTTTTTTCAGAGACGACCTAAAGCTCAAAGGTTTTCTTACAAAACTCACTAGCCCCAAAAAATGTATGTACTGCTTATTAAAACCCTCACTAGCACTTGTAGGATTCTGTTGTTGTGTGATCTCTGTACATTACCAGCAATATACACCAAATTAAATTTAGAAAAAATGTTATCATGTTATTTAAGAAGCAGTATATGGTTTATTTCATTCTTTTTTTGTTGTTTGTTTTTTAAATATGATACTACCTACATAAGATACTACTAAAGGATAATGGCAGAATAATATATGTCACATTCACTTCAGGGCTTGACTAATATGAAGCAACTAAAAAGTCAATAAATCTTCTGTTTTTAAAAGATACACTGATAATGCTAAGGAAATTATATTACATATAACTAATAATTTCTTGTACTTAGAAAGACAGAGGAGGTAGGACATGGTCATCTGGCTCATATTTTACCCACATGACTTCCAGTTTTGTTCACATACAAAAATAACAGCTATTATTTTTGCTTTATTTCCCTTGACCCAGCCAAGTTAAGGTAAATATGTACCATAAACTCCTCAGAGGTCTCCAAAAGACACAGCTGATAAATGGCCTGAGAACATTCACCGTATCTGATGGAATGCAATCCTCAATTAAATATAAATCACTCCAGGTATTCTTTTCCCCATTTCAAAGAAAACAACAAATATTAGAAAAACAGAACTGCTTCCCCTTTCTCATTACAGTATTTCCTCTCTGGAGCCAGCAATCCTGGGTGTTCCTCAAACAGCTCAACCCCATCCACATGGCTGCAGGATCCTTTCCTTTGAAAATTTCCTACTCTGTCTTTACCATACAGAGCAGCACATTCCTCAGGATACACATTACACATCTGAAAAAAAAAAATTTTCAAAGTGGTAACAGTGTCAAAATGACATGACTAATACCGAGGTATACTGAAGTACTGAGAAGTGTAGGTGGGTAATTAGGTGCTGTCTCAAAGCCAGCAGCTCACAGTGACATTCAGCCAGGACTTTTGTCACTTGCTGCAGCTCTACCCCATACTGAAACATGGCAAGTGATGGAGTCCCTAAAAGGGCCACTGCTGTTTGAACCAATAATTTCCTTTTAAAAGGAAGTCTGAGTACTATACAGAGTAATAAATAAAAATTTACTTTAAAGGCAGGAAGAATTAACTGTTCAATCAGCCACAAAACCATGGCTTCTTTTTAAACTCTAGGTAAACGCCAGCTTAGGTATTTTTGTTAACCAACCTAGGCAGAGAAAACCCATCATTTTCCACAATTTATTAAAGAACACACGTTCACTCTGTCTTACATACAGAAGTGTGGTTTCACAAACATCAGTGCAGCTCACATCAGGAAGCCATAATTAGCTCTGTTCATTGACGTACTCAGACAACATAAATTACAGACCAAGTCTAAATATCTGTCCAACAAAACAGCTGAGCAACCATCCAAACCCAAAGGAATAACTGTTAATATATTCCACAGGTAGAGAACTGCTATTAGTTACAGGAAATAAGGTATATGGTTTCAGTAATGATTGTTTTAACCGTCACAGTCCCACACGTATGAGAAATTTATTCCGCTGTCGTATCCGAGCACATGTGGTTCAGTCTCTCGTAACCCAACCTACTGCAAAACCCACCAGGTACAACCTGTGGACATCAACATCCTTAAACCTTTGATGGTTTCACAGAAACACACTGTGATGGCTGATACAGGCAAAAAATTTCCACATTCCACATTGCAATAAAATGTGATTTTCCAAAGGACTACTGAGAGTCTGTACCTTTCCTCCTCTGCCCCTTCTCCCTCCCATCCCTACCTGAAGTGGGGATGTGCTGTAAATACACACACACAGAGATTGAAAGAGCCTGCACTGCCCTCCCACTCACAACAGTGAGTCACCAAAACCCCAAAGCTGTACCTTAAACACAATCACACCTTAAGGTTTGACCAAAATTTAACTTGTATTTAGATCACCCAAAAGTACCGGTTCTGAGGTTTGTCATTACTAAACTGCAAAACCGAGAATGACAATTTATCTTTTATATAAATCAACTGGAAAAAGCGAGAAATCCTCCACTTCTTTTGAGAATGTGGTAAACCAAAATCGTTCACCTGTATTTGGATGGCTTAGCAGCAGCAACATTCATTTACTGGTCACACCCATAAACCACAGTCTGGTCCATGCATATAACCTGAGAGTTGCAAACACCTACAGAATGCCAAAATCTACCATTACCTGGAGGCAACAAGGAATGAAACCTGCATGGATTGCCCACCCTGCTTTGTTTTCACTAAAATACCACATCTCATTTTTACTGTGCTTATGATCTATACATACAAGGGCATGGAGTGACAGAATGAGGGGAATGGCTTTAAACTGAAGGAAGGCAGATTTAGATTAGAAATTAGGTGGAAATTCTTCCCTGTGAGGGTGGTGAGGCCCTGGCACAGGGTGCCCAGAGAAGCTGTGGCTGCCCCTGGATCCTTGGAAGGTGTCCCTGCCAAGGCAAGGGGTGGCACTAGATGAGGTTTAAGGTCCCTTCCAACCCAAAC